CCATAGCCGTCTGGTTGCTTCCTATTTTTGCGCTTCTCGTAGTGTGGGTTACAGCGCTAAAGAAGATTTTATTCCTAATTCGATAGTATTGTGTGCTCAGCTCTTAGCAACATTCTGGACATCTGGCCACTAAAGACTGATGGCCGAATTGTAGATCAAAATTTAAAAGGCCATTAAATATAGTAAGGAATGTTGTCCTTAGGTGTCTGTTTCTATCGCTGTTGTAACGAAAGCAAGAGGAGGACTTCTAGCTTTCATTTAGGGTCGTTTATGCCCTTAGTTCGCTTTATCTTGGAATATTGCTCTGGTGTAACAACCAAAGTTAATTGAATGGCACCGCACAGCCACTTGCCTCCTTATAGATCGAGACCAACATTAATAGATCTACCATCACTACATCACCGTGGAATTTGATCAGGAGTCGCTCTCCTTCGCACACTTCTTGCCAGTGATGTAGAGTCCTTAGTCTTCTTAGTCTTGTTGACTCCTTAAGACCTACGCGTGCATTTCGTACCTTTCGATTGCCAACTTGTAGATCCTTCATGAACCCTTTCATGGGTTGTGCTCCAATTATAACCTTTTTTCTGATCTTATATCCTTCGAATACTCCATTACGGCTATTCCCTCAGCAATATACTGGCACTTAGACATAAACAATCTCTGATATTATCCTTCTCTTTGAATTATTTCACTTATCGCGTTAATAAATTCCACTGGGGCGTTTTTTATGAACACCGATTATTTGCCAAGACCGACTTTATCAGATCAGATTACTATAACATACCGCTATAAATAGAATGAGTTGGTCTAAGAAGAGTTTCTGATGCATAAACAATTAAGTAGAATGGACCCAATCTAGGATTTAGTTGCAGCCATCTAGCCAGCGGAGAAAGCAAATTTCGGAAAGAAAGGCACTAACAAATCGTTTTACAATAAAAAATTGGATAGTTCGTGTATGTAGTGTTATATATATGAAAAGTGTTCCCACAATATTGCGTTAATTAAGAAGCGAATCTACACACATATGTTTCTAATATTCTTCAAAAAAAGGATCAATTTCTGTATGTTAACAAATTGACTTTGAAGCGTAGAATTAATATTAGTGTTGCTTAAAAATTGATATTAACTGTTCTATTAATATTATCGCTCGGCCTTACTTTACGGTGCATTATATAGTACTGCTTGGAAAATAAGGCAAGCGTGAGAGCAAAGAGATAGCCCCTTTTCAAACGTATATTTTAATGCCAGACTGCATATAGTCCCCTCCAGTTCTTTTCATGCCCATCAGCTGCCAGCATTTGAAGCGACGCGACCAGCATTTACATGGGAGGAGCATGCGAAAAGGAACGCATGACGAAGCTCGAGATTTTCAGGATTTGCAGTTATCCCTTTACTGCATGCACCAGCGGGCAGATGCTTGCTGGAGGCTGGCCCGTGGCCCGTGGCCAGTGGACTGTGGCTGTTGCCACTACGGTGACCAGCGGAGTGGCGATGTGGGTGGAGTGGGTGGAGTGGGATCCCCTCTGCAAGGCAATTCCTTGCCACAAAACCTGCAACACTAGCAACGGCCGTGGCTAGTCGCATACAACTATCGAGTCTGGCCAACACTCTTTGCCCTGATATTTATGGCTGTGCTGTGCGCATTATCATATATTTAGCAGATTAGCCGCACGAGACTAAACGTAAAGGTAAAGGCCAAACATCAAAACCACAGAACCGCCTCAAAATATATAGGATCCCAAAACTGTGCTGAACTGATAAATTTCCTGGAAATTTAATTGAGATGTACGCATGTCAGTTGCCGACGGGCTGTCCAGTTAGCGACGCCAGTTCGTGATTTAAGGCAAATCCCTAAAATTGTGATAATCGACTTTGATGCCGATTGTCGCCGACGACATCCCGACATTCCGACCGCCGACCGCTGACCCCCGATGCCCGACCCGAGCAAGTGAAGGGATCGTTTAGTTTTTTGTCGCCCATTGTCGAGACACTGTCAATGCGGCTGCCACTGCCACCGCTGTCACCTTCTGCTGTTTGCGTTTTTCCAAAAATGCAACACAAAAGACAGCGGCTGCATATCTCACAGAGATACTAGTATCCTGTTGTGTTTTCCACACACACACACACCCATACACACATACATGCGTACTCCACAAGACACAAGACTCCGTACACACACTTCATGTGGCGGCTGCCGCTCTCTGTCTTTATTACACAATGTCAATGTCGACTGTTGCAAATGGAAATGGAAATGGCAAAGGACGGAAGGATGGAAGGACGGTAGGACGGTAGGCTCGGGCCGAGCTAGAGGATGACGACACTTGGGTGCAAACGAGCCGATTATTGCCGCCTGATAATGCTCTAATTGCCTGGCAGCAACGAGTTTCGGCTCCTACTGTTATTTTCCGTTTTCTTTTTGTTCCCGTTTTTTTGGGCCAACAGTCGGCCAGAACTGTCCTGCTCACATGCTGAGTGTTGTCGTAGGTGTTGCATTCGCCGACATCGACATCGACGCCAATAGAAGCACTTCATTAGGGCTGGACGTGACTGGTTCTGGTCAGGTCTGGTCCGGTCTGGTCTGCTAACCACTCCTTACACTAACCGCAGTTGGTCACTTTCTCGGAAACATGCTTCCCTTTTACACTTTGCGCACAGTTTCCAGTCGTCTCTCCATTTGAAATCCCTCGCCATACTTTTCCCAATCAGCTTCTGAAATGTAATTTACCTGGCAAAGCGAAAGGTGTTCTCTGAGACGCAAAACAAGGCCACAAAAAATGGTTCTGAGATAACAAAAAACTAATAATAATTTGTAGCTCCAATAATGCTAAGGAAAACCTGATTAAACGCATCCAACGCATTAGATTGCTCAACGTTTTTATAAACCATGGGAAATGCTGCTCTAAAGAATAAACAAATTCAAAGTTCGCTTTTGTTAGAAAACTCGCAATTTCTAGTGATATATATATGAAGATTTAACTTATAACTTTACTTACGGTCTACATATATAGCTGGCACACGATACTGAAACAATATAGAAACGGGGCGGCCTTATAAAATAATAATATTAGAGAGAGGCATTAGAGAAAGAATATACACTAGTCGGTAGAGTTGGGTTGCATTTGCGAGCTGTTCAAACACTTTTCAAACTCTATTTGCACTGTTTCAATGACATTTATTTATTTATTTATATAATAGCCGGACTTCTTTCTTAATATTTCCGATCATAATACTAATAAAAACCCCACTTAGAAAGAAGCATTCAATTTTTAAGCCAGGAAAATAAATCGTATCAGGCAAAGTGTCTCAGTTTTTAGAATGCCAGCGTATTTAGCGGAAACTGAGAAATGCCCTAAGCCTTGGCGACCATTTGAAAATCTTTAACGGTCACAATTCAATACCATACTTTGATTTTTTAATGGAATCGTACTAATAAGGCGCCCCAATCGTATTCTGAAGGTAAAACAGCCACCCTAATATGTAATTGAAATTTAATTCTTTATGTTAGGTTTCTGCAAAGTGACAAATCTAAAACATATATATTCTTGACCAGCATGACAAACCCGTCCGTATATCCGAATATCTACATATATATTATAAGAGCAAGGGACATTTAAATATGCAGCCATAGAAAGATGTATAGTCGATCAAGGTGTTTTTTTATTACATTTTTCATTTTTTCGTTTTTTTATATGGCCAATTAATATGAAAAACGAAATAATTGCGAAATTTTAAGAAAAGAAAATGTACGAGTATATATACAACAAGAGAGAACGCTACAGTCGAGCAAACCCGGCAGTAAAATAGCCTGTACTATCCACAAAAAAGGAGCTGCAGGCAGCGATTTTATTTATGGCTATAACTTTCTTCAGAGTTGACCTATCATGATGAAACACACAGACACACGGACACCAAAGCACAAACTGGATGTACAACAAAATTTTCAAATGTTTCCAAATTCCAAGAATTACGGAATTTATAAACAAAAATACGATTTGGGGGGGAGTGGGGGGTATCAAAATAAAAAATAAAAAACTTGACCTGCCTAGGGCTCAGGCGAACCTGGATACCACGTTTAATCATTCTAGCTCTTGTACCTTCTGAGATCTTTGCGCTCATACAGACGGACAGACGCAGACTCGGCTTGTCACCCTAATCAAGAATATATATACTTTGTGGGGTCTGCCACGCCTCCTTCTGTGTGTTTCATACATGCGCACAAAACTAGTATAGCCTTTCACCCTTTGGGTACAGGCTATAAACATGTGTATAATATGCTTTACTCTTCGGGAAAGTGGATCTATTCGTTCCGTCATTTTATTTATTTATTTATTTATATGTATGTCAACAAACGTTGACTGTCGACATAGGAAAACAATCTATGAAAAAAATTAAAAAAAAAACCTAATGAACTATTAATAATATTATTTGCTTTTCGGCTAGCTATGTCCAGACTCACCGCCAAGTGTGGTCATCGCTCGAAAAGTTCGTAGGTATTACGGAATTTCAAGACTGACTTGTTTTGTGTTATTTCATTCTGTAACGCACTAAGTTAAATAAAATTCAAAAAAGCCATTTGTATTGCAAATTTAAATATTGCAAATTCAGATGCCACGTGATTGTGTGTATTTATATTACAGGTTGCAAATCAAAAACCAGGGTCGCTAAAGCAAGCGAGTGGACAAAGACTTGGACTTGGAGATTTAGTTATTAGCTTCTTTAACAATATATTACAATAGAAATGCAAAATATTTTTGATGCAGATTGTTGAGAAAATTATAAGGTTTTCTTTGCTTTCCTAATCAAATATCTAGACAAAACCTGTAATTTGGTTGAAAGGGATTTCTATGGCATCCCCGATAAACGGCATTGCCAGCTAAAAATTTAAAAAATTCTTTTGTGTCAGTATGCTGTGCTTTTGCATTCAATTGAATTTTATCTAAACTTCCAGGTGTACCTAACAAGTCTCATTCGAGTTCGGTTAGCTAAATCGTTCACATCGTGCATATTTGATTTAATTTTAGTTCAAGTCCGTTTTTGGAGCGCCTTTTAGATAAAAAATCGAAGTTTTGTGCCCGAGAAAAGAAAACGACTTCTTTAAACATGAGCGATTTGGCTAAACAAAGATCTGTGACTGCCAACCCGAATAGAGAAACATGTGCCATTTGTCTAGAGGAGAAGCAGAACCCGTTCTTCGTGAAGTGCGGACACTCTTTCTGCAAGCCGTGCTACGAGCTCTTTGAGAAGTCAACTCGGCATACTATTCAACTTCGTTGTCCTCTGTGCCGCATCGTCTTGAGCGAACCTTCTCTAGAGGATATTTTTTTTGCACAGGTAAGTATTACAGAAACATACATTCACGTGTGCCTTTCATTAATGCCTTTTTCGGTCCAGGCGCCGGTTAACTACGATATTTTTCAGGATCTTTTCGCCTCGGCCAACTTCTACCCCATGCCGACCTTTCCCGATATACCTAACATGTTTCCTCCGCCGTTTGCTACGCCGTTCGCTACGCCGTTCGCTCCGCCAGTCGCTCCGCCAGTGGCTCCGCCAGTCGCTCCTCCGGAGGCTGAGCACGATAATGATGCCGATGATGAGCCGAATGTAGGAGCAGGCGCCTAAAACTACAAGAAATCACACTGATTGACAGACAAAAAAAAAAAAAAAAAAGAAAACACTAACACCAAGAGTGACAGCAGGTGCTTTTGGGGAATGACGATTAAGTTTCAAATGCTCTCATACATTCCCATACTTTTGCAATAAAACTGTGTTTACAGACGCGCTTGTTTCCTTGCTTGAAAAAATTGGAAAGCCAAAACAGCCGCAATGGGAAACTCGAGTCTGATGGCTAGGGGTGGATAGGGTAGCGGCTTAAACGTCATTTTCCACGCAATAAAATAAACATTCAAAACGAAATCAACTTAAATGCTCCAATAAATATAGAAAATCACGAATTGCGGAGATGAGCGGAGAATTTCCAAAATACACTTTGCGTATTCACGAAGTGCATCTTGGACTAAGATGTGGTGTCTGTACGGCCTAAGCCGGTAACTTGCCGGTATGGCAAAAATCGAATAGAAAACAAGGAAGAACGCTACAGTCGAGCAAGCCCGACAGTAAAATACCCTGTACTCTCCACAAAAAAAGGAAAATTAAAAAAAAAATTATTTAAAAAAATGTAATTAATTAATTAAATTATATAAAAACAAGTAAAAAAGCTAAAGTCGGGTGTCCCGACTTTGAAATACTCTGTACATATGATTACTATAATTATATAAAATAAAAAAAGATAGAACGCTACAGTCGAGCAAGCCCGACAGTAAAATAACCTGTACTCTCCACAAAAAAATTATTTAAACAAATTAAATTAATTTATTAAATTAATTAAGAAAATTTATTATAAAAAAGAAAAATTAAAAAAAAATATTAAAAAAAATTAAATTATTTAAAACAAGAAAGGAATGCTAAAGTCGAGCAGGCTCAACTCTTAAATACCCTGTACCACCCCACAAAAAAGTAATTAAATTAATTTAATTTAATTAATTAACTAAATTAATTTAATTAATTAACTAAATTCATTTAATTAATTAACTAAATTAAATATAAAATATTCCATGCATGCATACATACATTTACATTTACATCAGAATTGTGCCTTATGCGTGTTTGTGCACTTGTACATATGTATGTATGTGTGCATTGGGCCTGGTTATATGGCTATAACTTTCTTTCCGATCATTCTATCATAATGAAACTTGGTATACGGATATATAATTACCTAATGTGACTACCAAATTTTAGTTCAAAATTCCAAGAATTACGGGAGTTATAGAAAATCGTTAATAGGGGGGAGTGGGGGGTGGATCAGAAAAAATGAACAAACTCGTCCTTTCTCGGTCTCAGGAGAATCTGTATACCAAGTTTGGTTATTCTCGCTCTTATACTTTCGGAGATCCTTGCGTTCATACAGACAGACAGACGGACAGACAGACGGACAGACGGACATGGCTATATCGACTCGGCTTGTCATGCTGATCAAGAATATATATACTTTGTGGGGTCTACCAAGCCTCCTTCTGTGTCTTCCATGTACACTCGCACAAAACTAATATACCCTTGTACCCTTTGGGTACAGGGTATAAAAATTTAATTCATTTATTAAATTAATTAAGAAAATTTATTTAAAACATACATAGAAGACATGTTTATTTACAGTTTTACATTTACATCACGTGTATATTTCAGAATAAAAAAATAAACTTGACCTGCCTAGGGCTTAGGGGAACCTGGATACCAAGGTTGGTAATTCCAGCTCTTGTACCTTCTGAGATCCTTGCGCTCATACAGACGGATGGTCGGACAGACGGACATGGCTAAATCGACTAGGCTTGTCACCCTGATCAAGAATATATATACTTTGTGGGGACTGCCACGCCTCCTTCTGCCTGTTACATTTTTCAGCTCCCGCAAACCTAATATACTCTTGTACATTTCATGTACAGAGTATAATAATACAAAAGTGAAGACATGTTTATCTACAGTTTCAACAGAATGCATTGACATCATCGTGTCTATGCGTGTTTATATGCGTATATGGAGTACGTCATTAAGTCAAAGCAGCAACGACAGCTGCGCGCAGATCTTCGGAAGAGAGTACAGCGTATTTATGGCTATATCCTTCTTCATAAATAACCTATCATAATAAAACTTGACATACGGACTCATACGGACTTATTGGAGGTATTTTCCAAATCTTATGAATTGGTATCTTTAGTTAGCGACCGCCCACCCGCACCAATGTAAGCTGCTGTGCCCCGTTCCGATGCGGGCACAGAAAAGGACTTGGCTTTTGGTACGAGGGCTGCAAAATAAGTGACTTGTCCAGCTTCGAGATTTCGTCTGCAAAAGCTGTGCCAAGAATTAATTCGTTTCCCGTTTCTAAATCGAAAAATGTAGCAAACAATGCGAAAAATTTTAAGATATGATGTGAACCTTTTTACTAAATCCATAAGTGGATTAGAAGGCACATCGGCCGCGATGAGAGCCGCAGCACTCTTTCGCAGCTCCAGCTCTACTGCTCTTTGGTCAGTTCAATATGTGAATTCTGAGGCCAAAGGCAACGGTCCAGAAGTAAAAACTTCGGACCATTGAACCAATGTGAATCAGCCAGTTCAGTTGTGGTACAACCCGCGAAGCTAAATCAGCTGGATTTTCTTTAGTGGGTACGTGAAGCCACAACACATTTGACTTTAGTTACTGAATATTTGCTTCTCTATTGGCAACGAATACATTTATACAGAAAATGACTTGCTCCACTGCCATATGCAGAAGTTGCCTGACGTTATCCCATAAAATTGGCCAATAATTGGGCTGCACAAAGCTCCAGGCGTGGAACCGATTCGGTCTTCAATGCTGCAACTTTAGACTTGGCAGTCACCAAATGCTCTGTCACCTTCTGCTCATGTTCTACACGAATGTATAGTAGAGACAGCACTCCCATGAACTTGGCACTTTGCTGCTTTTGTGACACCATCGTACCGGGCTATGCGCAACGACTCCAAGTCACCAAATGAAGTCGTTGTGGATTGCAAGCCCGCAAGAAGATGATGGTCGTCTCTTGCAAATTCAAGAAGCCAAAGTTCTCGCATTAAAATTGTTGCCCTAGTAATAACTGAGCACAGAAAATCAATTGGTTCATATGGATGCGAAGTAAATGAGAGAATTTCCCGTTTTGTAGGCACCACGTGGAGCGATATGTTTCCTGTTGAATATTTCAATGTGTCATCACGAGGACACATCGTTAAAAAAATGTGTTGCAGAAATTTGCAGATGTGTGTAGATTCGTAAGTATACTTACCCTTTTTCCAACGTCTATTTGGCCCCACAAACTACTTTTTTTTGCCTATGGCGTGTTGCTCTGTCTTTGTTTTTCGTAGTTGTGTATCCAACAAAAAGATTCAAATTGAACATAGTTTACAATTAACACTAGTTGATGGAAAAAGCTGTAGTGCTCTAAGCCAAACATCTTCTGTAAGTGTTACATACTCATATGACGCAAAGCCAACAGAAACGAGAGATTTGGAAAAATGCCACGAGTTACGTTATGAGTTTGGGTTGTCTCCATTACACTCATACATATATTCGGTTTTCTGCATATTTTTTGCATCTGTCATACAGATTGGATCTGAAAAGTTGGCGAATTTGTACTCCAAAAGGGAAAAATGTCCTTCTGCTCTTCTCTAATGCAAGCAGACTTTCGTGAAAAAATGGGATTTATCGTTCACAAACCGAGAAGTGGAGGAAGTAGAAGTTCAAATGTAGATGTAATAAAAAAAATTAAACGAATATTGGAAGTATTTTTGGCTGCCGATTCCACACAAGTTCGATCACTGGGGTTCGTTCATAGTCGGTCGGTTATATGGGAGCTATGTGAAATATGGGTGCGACCTGGATGAAATTTGATCAGCTGATGTAAACTTTCTTTAATGTATACAAACAAGACTTTGTTCAATTGGATAAAAAGTTCGATTGCTTATCTAAGTTTAATTTTTAATGTGCGTAGTATAGTGTGCAGTTTTTTTAGTCTTCGGGCTTTTTGTAAAGTGCGTATGCGATGGTTGTCTTCTGGTTTTAAATGCAAAATAACTTAAGGCACTATTCCACAGCGAACAGCAAAACTATTATTAGGGTTCTTAGTAAACAAAAGAAAGGTCTACATATATGTCACCATAATGCACAAAGCTTAGCGAAAAAAATGGACGAGTTCAGACTTTTGTTTGTTAACTCCAATGTAGATGTAATCTGTGTGTCTGAAACGTGGCTTGTGTCCTGTCTTAATGATCAATATGTATGTTGTGATGGGTACAGTGTATATCGTTTCGATCGTGAGGGGCATGCGGGGGGTGTAGCCATATATGTGAAAAATAATCTAAAATGTCATGTTATTTGTAAACAGCCAATGGGCAGTAGTATTGAGTATCTGTTTTTGCACATCTCAGGAAGCATAAATATGGATAGCATCCTTGTCGCATGTGTATACAGGCCGAACATGATTACTGAATACACTGAGCTCCTAGACATCTTTTCTTCTGTGGCTATGAAACACTCCAATATTGTCCTGGCTGGGGATTTCAATAGCAATATGCTATTGGAACGACAATTAAAGGATGATCTGGTCTTCCTAGGCATGGAGCTTGTTAACACTATTGTACCCACACACTTTTCTAATACCTGTGATACACATTTTTTTTTTTTTATTTATTTATTTATTTATTTATTTATTTAAATCAACAAGTAGTTCTGTCGATTTATTCAAAAACAATATATATGTATTAACATATTATATATATAATAAGATTTAAGATTAAAAATACAAATATGATTAATATAACAAAGTCTGAACTTACAAGATAAGAAAGCCTACAAAAAAGCTGTACAATAACGTCTATAAATGCCCCCGACACGTTGGGGGAATTTTATTTGCCAGTTGGCCAGCTATGCCCCGATTCACAGCCACATGTGGTCAGAGACATTATAGACCTGACAATCTAAACAAATAGTATGTAGAAGAGGAAAATTAATTCTACTTAGGAGCTAATTAGAAAAAGTAAGGAGTAGAAAGA